TTGTTTCCTAAAAATCTCTCCAGAAATCTTCACAAATCAACCCACAAAAAACGATATAATTTAAAATTTCATCAACAAAATCCCATCCTAAATGCCTTTAAAATTAACCTTATAAGTTGCTAAGCCCGCACACTCCATTTTATGTAAACGAGCTGGCAGTTTCAGTAATTTAAAGCAAAAAAGCCCGAAGTTCACTGGACTAATAGTTTCCAAGATAAAAAATTCATGAATATAGTCTGCCGAGAATGAAGAAAAATTGAAAAATTCGAAGAGCGCATATTTCCTAAAGAAAATTAAAAGTACCTTACACGGAAGTTTGAAAAATGAAACTAATCATGTGATGACCGATATCTAACCCAATTTCACGACAGCTACATCATATTTCATTTTCGACCAAATCTCTGACATTAACGTCAAAAAGTGATCGATTTAGCGTGGAATGACATAAGCGTAATTATAGGAGAGGTTTCCGAGTTATGTATCGACGTATCCTCAACGTTTCAGTTAGCTTCATCAAAAGTTTCAGGACGCATTGATACTGACGTGCATATGGAACGTTTCTCTATTTAAGTAAACTGTGTTCATGTTGCGATCTATAGATCCGCCACCATGAGTTTTAATTAATAAACGGTCGAATTGGGTATTGATGTTCGAAGAAAATTGGTATGGTTAGTGGGAAAAGTATTAGGGAAATCTTTTTTGGTTCATGAAGCTAGTTAAGTTTATCAAGTTAATTTATACAGCAATATGTTAGGTATATAATCAGAATATATTTTGAAAGTAATGACTGAGTAGGTAGGTGTTTGGAGAAGATCAATATTTAGTAGATGGTTGAGCAATTTAAACATTATACAAATTTGGGAATTAACAAATATTAAAATAAAGTTATTTGGTAACTTGTAGATTGGAAATTAAATACTTATAAGTTTAAGTATACTGAGATGGGAACATTGGAGATTTGCAAAATTAGAAAATGAGAAAATGGGAGATTTAAAAATTAGAAAATTGGAAAATGGGGAAATAAAAAAATGGGAAAATAGGAAAATTGAAGATTTGAACACTGGAAAATGGGGAAATGGGCAAATAGGAAAATAGGAAAATTGAAGATTTGAACATTGGAAAATGGGGAAAGTGAAGATTTGAAAATTGAAAAATGGGGAAGTGGGAAAATTGTAAAATTGAAGATTTGAAAATTAAAAAATTGGAAAATGGAAAAATGGAAAAGTGGGAAATGTGCAAATGGGAAAACAGGAAAAATGAATATTTGACCATTGGAAAATAGAAAAATTAGAGATTTGAACATTGGAAAATGGGGAAAGTGGAGATTTAAAAATTGAAAAATGGGGCAATGGTAAAATTGAGTATTTGAAGATTGGAAAATGGGGAAATGAGAAAATAGGAAAATTGAAGATTTGAACATTGGAAAATGGGGAAAGTGGATATTTGAAAATTGGAAAATATGAAAATGGAAAAATTGGAGATTTGAAAATCCGAAAATGGGGAGGGAAACCATTTCCCCGTTTGAAGATTTGAAAATTAAAAAATTGGAAAATGGGAAATGGGAAATGGGAAAATGGGAAAATAGGAAAAAAGAAGATTTGACCATTGAAAAATAGAAAAATTAGAGATTTGAAAATTGGAAAATGGAGAAATTTTGAAACTTCTAAATTTAGAAAACTAAAATTTCAAAAATCTACAAACTAAAAATTTAGAAACTTACGATAATATGAAATTTTTACTTTATCGAAGTATCCAACTATAATTGAAACTACAAATATAATTGTCTCCATCATTCTCACGAATTATAGCATTTAATTACTCTCGAAACGTACCTGCAGTGTGCAATTAAGTGTACAGTTTCAAGATTATATCAGAAACAAGTCGAACAACGTAGCTACTGTTTGCACATGTACGAAATCTTACGTAACCAACCCGTAGTTCATTCTTGTGCAGTGGCACTATCTTGTACGTATAATTGCTGTTGTTTCTCAATAGTACAATTCTCGTAGGAAATTTACTATACAATACACTAGTATCTGAATTTGTAATAACTTTCTGATATTGAAGTGAATATTATTAAGCAAAATTTTGATATCTATAATAATAGATATTATAACAATATTTAATATTGTTATTTACTTAACTTTAGTAAATGTAAAATTTTTACTTAATTTTAATAAACACAAAATAATTAGTATTAATTTAAGTATAAAAGAAAACTAAAAAGACCACATAAGAAACACTATAAACTTCCTGAAAGAAACCAACATGTACAACAAAATATAGTACCCAAGTATACAGCCGTCGCCAATGACCACACAGTCGACGCGACGTTAAACATTTATGAAGAAGAAGAAGAAGAAGTTGTCAAACTTTTGATAGTCAAATATTTTATTAAAATGTTTTTACCACTGTTTTCGTTAGAAGAGGATTTTTAAACTTTGCTATTACCATTCAAACTTTTAAACTGTTATAAATTAATAACTGAACTTCTATAATATTGGAAATTGTTATATTACCTACACAACATAAAATAATATTGTTCAATATTACTCTATTATTTTGTTTTATTAATTATTGTATTTAGTCGCGTTATATTGGGGATATCGATTATTCAACCCTTATTGCAGCGAACGTGTTAAATCGGAAATTGTATACTTCAGATTTTCAAATGAAACAAATTGTATACGAATTTATAACAAAAGTTTATAAATACATATTGTATACTGTAATGAACATTAAATTATTTTATGATAATATATAATACTATTATAATTATAATATCATGACCTCACAGGGTGTCACAAAAATTGAAAAATTTGTTCAACTATTAAAGAAACAGTTGACACATTCACATTTATGAAAATTATTTTCAATTGCAATTTAGTATCATCCTGGGAATATTATAATTAATATTTAATTCAATTGTACGAACATTGTAATTAACCCTTAACGGTCTCACTTCATCAGAATAATACCTGGCGCACTGGGACCTTTAAAACCCCAGTCACTAAAAATATTTCTCACAAAGAAGCCACCCATTATTTTTACATAAAAAAAATTCTAAATAATCTTCGAAAGTTATTTTAACACATTGCATAAGTGATTTCAGTAAACTTAAATGATGAATATGTAATAAAATTTAAAAACGTGAAAAAATTGTAAAATGATTTTCACAAAAAAATTCAAAGCTTCTTTCGATTTTAATGAACCTAAAAAATCAACCTGAAAAGAACCTAAAATTTTACCTGAACAAAGTATAATAGTTTGCAGAAAAAAAACACAGTAAAAAGTCCTAATATTTCAAAAAAGGTACTCATTACAATTTTCAAGATATAAAAATACCTAAAATTGTACCTAAATTGCCTACGTTCGTTTCACACCCCAATATGACCATCAAAAGATAATAAAATGTAATTAAAAAGCATTATAGAGAGAATTATTCGTTACACTTGACAAGTAGAATAAAATACAATCACAAAATTATAATAATGGTAATTAATTACTATTCGCTCCAAGATAGAAATTGTTAAACTATGTTAAATTACACCTGAGCAGATAAACTTTCGGTGGATAAGTATCGTTAATAAAATTTCCTAAAGTTTCATGCTAAGTAGAGAGAGTTTTAAGAAGACACTTGTGACGATGTTTAATCCCGAAAGAGCGACGAAACAGAAATTAACATCGTTCCTCAGTGAGTCGTTAAAACCGCCGCATTCTGTCAGCGACAGTTTACAGCTATCTTAGTGAAGTCTTCGACGCTTTAAGGATTAATGAGTGGCTACACTTCCTGAAAGTTTCTTCCGACATCACTCAGAAGTACCGACAAATTTTCCATATAGTAGATATACTGGGGAGAGATATAGGATATTTTGAATACAGTGGTAGTAGGTGAAGAAGGGGCTGAATATGAAATTGAGAAAAAGTATGGGATAAAATTTTGTGTTGCGACTTTTTGAGACATTTTTGAGAAAACTGAATTTGAGCGCTTTATAACTCAGATAGAGGTTATTCAAATTAATACATTTCTAAATTTCCAAGTTTTCAAATTCCCATATTTCCAATTTTCTAAGTTTTCAAATTCCCAGATTCCTAAATTTCCAAGTTCTCAAATTCCCAGATTTCTAAATTTCCAAGTTCTCAAATTTCCATATTTCTAAATTTCCAAATTCTCCAATTCGCAGATTTTTAAATTTCCATGTTCTCAAATTTCCAAGTTCTCAAATTCCTAAAGTATTAAATTCCTAAATTTCCGAGTTCTCAAATTTCCAGATGTCTAAATTTCCAAGTTCTCAAATTCCCATATTTCTAAATTTTCAAGTTTTCAAATTCCCAGATTTCTACATTTCCAAATTCTCAAATTCCCAGATTTTCAAATTTCTAAAATCTCAAATTTCAAAATTTCCAATTCCTTAACTTCCCAAATTTCACATTTCCACATGTGTGTGTGCATATGTATATCTACATATCCATGTATACATATGTATATCTACATATCCACATATACATATGTATATCTACATATCCACAATAAATATGTATGTCTACATATCCATACATACATATGTATGTCTACATATCGACATATACATATGTATATCTACATATCCACAATACATATGTATGTCTACATATCCATACATACATATGTATGTCTACATATCCACATATACATATGTATATCACACATCCACACATATATTCCATCTCCCCAAAAATATATGTACACATATCTATGCATCTACCATGTTTGCCTCATGCTTTTCAGGATCCTACACTACTTATGAGACACCCTGTATATCCTCCGAATATTCCACATTGCTTCATCCCAACTGAAGAATGCTTCCTCCCATATATTAATAATACTCATAATTAATAATACTAATCTCGAACATTTAAAAGTATCTAAATAATATCTATAAAGTTCTAGTTATGAAAAGAGTTTCTTCTTTTGTGATTTGCAGGTTGACAAACAGACGTGCGAATTCTTAAGGAACGAAGGAAAAAACGGAGAAAAAAGGAGGAAAAAGGGGCGAACACTACCCTAGAGATACTATTGGATAGAGGTCAATGGAGCCATCCTGATGCAGGCTGCAAAACTACGTGGGGATTACCCGTCGTGGTCGTCGGGCTGATTTGAACGGTGAACAGTGGCGATTTCACCCGTGGGTAGAACCACCGTTTTCATCACCGTCAGCGGCAAATAGTACAGCCACTTCCGCTTCCTCCACCCCACGTGGCCGAACCATTACCTGATAAGGTACGTTCAAAAATTTCATGACATTCCGAGATAATTCTCTCAGATATACTTCAACCAGTGCTGATATCATTTCTTTTATCGTAATTTTCTACCGATTCCCTCGGGTTTCTTAAATGAAATGTCATAAAGGCTGAAGGTGTTATTTAAAATCGGGGGATATTAACACTTCGTGACACGGTATTTTCGAATTTGTTGCAAGTGCATTTCTGGACTGGTATGATCGGAGATAAAGAAATAATGATATTACATAGTAATATAGTAATATAGTAACATAGTAACAAAGTAACAAAGTAAAATAGAAATATAGTAACATAGTAAATTGTAACAGAATAATCAAATAACAGAATAACAAACTAAGATAGTAACATAATAACAAAGTAAAATAGTAACATAGTAACATAGTAACATAGTAACAAAGTAACATAGTGGCAAAGTACCAAAGTAACCAAGTAACAAAGAAGCAGAGTAACATAATAATTAACTTGTGAAACAACAACACGATAAAATAACTGCATCGCAGAACAGCATAATGGCTAATTTGTTAAGTGAATTGATAGAAGAATACTGAAATAACGCAACAACGAACATACCAAGGTAACAAGGCGGCAAGGGGGTAAGGTACCAAAGTAAAGGAGCAAGATAGAAAAGTAGGAAAATAACAAAATAGAAAAACAATAAAATAACAAAGTAGCAAATTGGAACCACAGCAATCTAACAAAGTAGCAGGGTAGCAATATAGCAAACTAGAAAAGTAGAAAAGTAGATAAATAACAAAATTGCAAGGTGGTACCATAGGAAAATAACAAAGTAGCAGCGTAGCAAAATATCGAAGGAATAAAATACAAAAGTAAGAGAGTAGAAAATCAATAAAGTTACAAAATAGCAAAGTGATAACCACAGCAAGGTAGCAAAGTAGGAAGGAAGCAAAATGGCAAGGTAGTGAAGTAGAAAAGTAGCAAGGTAGCAAAGTAGTAGGATAGCAAAGTAGCAGGGTAGCAATGTAGAAAAGTCAGAAGATTGGAAAACAATAAAATAACATAATAGCAAGGTGGTATCACTGCAAAGTAACAAAGTAGCAAGGCAGTAAAGTAACAAGGTAGCAAAGTACCAAGGTAACAGAGTAACAAAGTAGCAACGTAGCAAAGTAGAAAAGTAGGAAAACGACAAAATTATAAAATAACGAAATGGTACCACGACAAATTAACAAAGTAGCAGAGGAGAAAAGTGGCAAAGTAACAAAGTAACAAAATTGCAAAAGTACAAAATAGTAAAACAGTAAAGCAACAAAGTAGCAAAATAAAAAAGTAACAATGTAGCGCCACAGAAAAGTAGTGAAGTAGCAAAACAATAAAATAACAAAATAGCAACTCAACAAAGTAACAAGATAGTAAACAAAGTAACAAATTATCAAAGCACCAAAACAATTAAATAGTAGAACATCAGTCGAGAAAATGTTTCAAATAATTCCTTCAAAGCTGTGCGCACCAAATCTCTCAACAGAATTATACATTTTGTAACTCTGTCCATAACCGAGAGAGAATATTCCCCTAATTGATGAAATCATTGCTTTCAGTCATTATCTTAATGAGTATCAATTCATATGTCAATTACGTAAAGGGGATGTTACGTTTAGAAAGACAGGTACTCCAACAGTCAATATTTACCGTCGTAGTTTTACTACCACTCCGTTTGTGTTGTCTTATCGTTATCTGATTATATCGATCTGTCAATCAAGTTTGTGTACATTCCAGTACTAATTAACTAGTTACTATGCTTACGTCTACTATGTTTGTTCGACGATTGAGGACTGCAGAGTACTCGTTTGTTTGGGAATATACTTAACGGGAGGGAAGGAAGTTTTTGCAAATATATGCAGGTAGATTTTATTGGAATCGTGTATGTATTTACTTCCGGCATTACAGAATCACGTCTGAGAGATGCTTTAATAAATAATAATAAAATAGCGTTGATATTAGTAAAATTACAGTAGTATGATGTACAGTAGTATGGTAATAAGGGATTTCAGTAAATAATAATAGTTGACGAAGAGTGTTAAGTATTAAGCTTAGCAAATCTTCAAGTGTCCAAATCTCTAAAATAACATATCACACAATTGTCTAATAAATATCAAAATTTCAAAATTCTTATGATTCTGATTACTAGTTCTATAAATCCCCAAAAAAACCAAATTCCCAAATCTGTGGAATCTCTGATTTCTAAATATTAGAATTATCAAACTTCCAAACTAACCCCAAAATTCTAAAAATTTGAAATTCCTATCACTCCAAATTCCCATCTCCCCAAATTCCTATTTCCCCAAATTTCAAAATCCTCCAATCTCCATCTCCCCAAATTTCAAAATTTTCCAAAACTCCATATCCCCAAATTCCCATCCCTCCAAATTCCCAGCTCCCTAAATTCCCATCTCCCCAAATTTCTAAATTTTCCAAAACTCCATATCCCCAAATTCCCATCTCCACAAATTCCCATCTCCTCATATTCCAATCTCCCCAAATTCCCATCTTCCCAAATTTCCATCCCCCAAGTTCCCATCTTCCTAAATTTCCATCTCCTCAAAGTCCCATCTCCCCAAATTTCCATCTTCTCAAATTCCCACCTTCTCAAATTTCCATCTCCCCAAATTCCATTCTTCCAAATTTCTAAATTTTCCAAAACTCCAGCTCCCCAAATTCCCATCCCTCCAAGTTCCCATCTCCCCAAATTCCCATCTTCTCAAATTCCCACCTTCTCAAATTCCCATCTCCCCAAATTCCATCCTTCCAAATTTCTAAATTTTCCAAAACTCCATATCCCCAAATTCCCATCTCCACAAATTCCCATCTCCTCATATTCCAATCTCCCCAAATTCCTATCTTCCCAAATTTCCATCCTCCCCCAAGTTCCCATCTTCCCAAATTTCCATCTCCTCAAAGTCCCATCTCCCCAAATTTCCATCTTCTCAAATTCCCACCTTCTCAAATTTCCATCTCCCCAAATTCCATTCTTCCAAATTTCTAAATTTTCCAAAACTCCAGCTCCCCAAATTCCCATCCTTCCAAATTCCGAGCTCCTCAAATTCCCACCTCCCCAAATTCCATCCTTCCAAATTTCTAAATTTTCCAAAACTCCATATCCCCAAATTCCCATCCCTCCAAGTTCCCATCTCCCCAAATTCTCATCTCCCCAACTTCCCATCTTCTCAAATTCCCACCTCCCCAAATCTCCATCTCTCCAAATATCTAAATCCCCACAGCTTCAAATATTCAACATTCTTCCACCCTTAAATCCCCAAATTGCAAAACTCCAATACTTTCAACCCTCCACTACTGTCCAAATTATCTACCCATCACCCTCGACCACGTCTCTCCTCACTCCGTTTATAAAATGCAATTTATACGAACCAACCTATCCTTACCAGTAGTTTCCCGCATCCTACTAACCTCTTCTTTACCTCGCGTTCTTTTCGACCTCTTTTTATTGCCATCACCACGTATTATCTAGAAAATATTACGTGCACATACATACATCGTTTCATAGATGTCACGTTATAAATTTTTCTAAGCCAAGAGATGCTTCCTTTGAGCGCAATAATTTAACGGAAATCAACCCTCCATCGTTTCATGTAATTTCGTTCGTTCAATATATTGTTGCCCTGTGGGACACTGAAACAAACAATATTTCATTCCATGTGTAAACGTGTGGTTTCAAAAACTTTCTTCCTTTTAGCTGTTTCTTGTATACAATAACTACATCAATACCCAAAGGTGTGCTATTCAGGCGATACACCGCGATTATAAATTATTCATAACATTTCTTTATATCTCTTTCTTTTTTTGACGTAGTTTTTAGTAGCGTGTGAACGATGTGTATCATCTAACGAAAAAGACAATTTTATTGTAGACATGTGTGAAAAATATTAGATTCCGTCAGAGTTTTATTGAAAAAATTCAATTTTAAATACTGGAGTATGGTTATAGGTTTTTTTTTTAGATTTTTATTCGACAATTTTTATTTTTAGAAACCTGTTACTGTATCTATTTTTTCTATGATACTTTTTTTCGACAAATTTATTTTTGAAAAACTGAATATTGATATTTTTTATTAAAAAGGTTTAATTTAAAAGGTATATTGTATCCATTTTTTATACAAGATTTTTATTAAAGAAATGTTGGAACTTTTGGTAAAGTAATTTAATTTTAAAAAAACAGTACAGTGATGTTTTTCTGAAACTTTTGTTAAAGAAATTTAATTTTAAAAAACAGCACAGTGATGTAGTCATTTTTGCTATGAAACGTTTGTTAAAGTAATTTAATTTTGAAAAAACAGCGCAGTGATGTATTTTTTTTGAGACTTTTGTTAAAGAAATTTAATTTCAGAAAACAGTACAGTAATGCTGTTATTTTTTCTATGAAACGTTTGTTAAAGAAATTTAATTTTAAAAAACTAATATAGTGATGCATTTTTCCTAAGACTTTCATTAAACAAAAATATTAAAAATTTGAATAATCTCAAGCAAAAAAGTAATTAAGTGTTTCTTCCATGTAAATATAAGACAAAAACACATCAAATAAGAGAAATAACTTTTTGTCTAATTTGAATTCCTGTCACGCGTTCTTTACCGAAGAAACAGTGCAGGTAGAAGATAAGGGCGGGTCGTAGATTAAATCATAAAGAAACGACGGTCTTTTGACGACGCCAGCGTTCAGGACCGCATTCAGCATTCCGTTTTAGGGATCAGTTTTGATATATTTTATAGAGCACATTGGCACTCTACGAAACATTTCTCGTACAACCCTGACATAGCGTTTCAACTCCTTATCTCCCCTTTCGAGATCGTATTTTGTGATCTTTCACGTGCGAGCGATTTTACGAGCGTTTTGAATCTCGCCACCTCGTCGAACTGCTGCTTAAGCAGCACTTGGTAAGAAACGTGTTCAGAAACATTCTTGATAAAATTCCTGTTTTTTCAACTTTGAGTATCGGTACCTAATAAAATTTCGTTGATACATATTCTTAGTCTATTTTTGTACTTTCTAAAAATATTCAGAGTACAGGTTTTAATAAAATATTTGGTTTATTGTCGCCATGTGAGGTACTTTTAATTATGCAATAAATCATTGAGGTTATGTATCTTTTTATATCTATAAATACATGAGTTCTTCAGAACCTCAAGTCTAACTTTCGATTTTTTTGTAGTTTTAGATTAGGTTGATTATTTGTAAGAACCATTAAGAACCTGAAAATGGGGAGCACTCTTTTTGTGGATTTGATGACTTTAATAAATAAACGATTTGTATGAGAATTTTTTCTAATTTTGTATATATGGTATAAAATGAACTTTAAGTACATTTATAATATTATAAAAATTATACATTGTTGTCTTCTCATTTCTTTCACATCCAGCACTGCATTAGCAATATATTATAATTGACTATATTTATATCACAGTTGTGGAAAGAAAATTTGTTACTAAAATATCTATAGATTTGCAAAATATAAAATAGCGTCTTTGCATCGTATTGTATGAGTTTTATTTAAAAAGATTTTTAAGATTATACACAAAGTTTGTATCGAAGTAATGCCAATTTAGGTTAGGTTGTTATTAGATTTGAATTTATTATAATAAAAAATGAAGAAATAATTGCAATTGAGATTGCAATATTGGGTTAATAAGGTAGCTAATAGTTAATTGACTGAGTTCCAATTCCGATTGGTTTCATTTGAGTTTGATTTCATCAGGTTCAGATTACCATCATTAACTCGACCGCCATGTTTCTAACCTCTCTAACCTCTCTAATAGCAAGAGATAGCCTCTCCAATTACGAACACCCAGTGTTTAAACAGTTTTAGTAATCCTGCACCCTTTAACGCGAATGAATTGATACACAAATTGTAATGCGATTAGTAATAATTATTGCTCATTTCGTAACAAGAGTTTATTTATTCGAGTGTGTTACTTATTTATTTTGTTAGATTATTTACTATACATTATGTATTATACATCTTACAATTTTAGGAAAGATTTAGAAAATAAACAAAGATTTGGAGTAATTTCATCATTTAAATTAGGATTATTAATTTTCTATAAGACATCAGTATAATTTCTCGTGACACGAGCATGGATATCTGAATTAAACTTGAGTTTGCGCCATACCAAGAATAGATTTCTACAAATAAACATACACTTGCAGAGCAGAAATTCCACGTAGTTAGTTAATTCCACAGACCTTGGAATTACAGGTGCAATTTTGAACTGTTGCAGAAATGCGGAAGTGAGCACAATTAACAATACACTGACTCCTTTCTATTATTCATTCATAATCATTCATTTATGAAGAAAATTTTGTTATATATTAAGAAATTATTAATTTCATTTTCTAAGCATTATTTATTTTTCGTTATTAATTTTAATTATGGTCAAGTTGGACATTTATCTATTAACGAAAATTTGTAATTTAGCTGTGAGTAAAAATTTAGTATGAAAATATTTTTGAACAATAATTATTTTTTAAACATTTGATACATATATGTAGGGATAGCATACACACACATGCAGATTGCATAGACATACATGTTACTTCACATACACGCATATAGATTACATATACGTACATACCTATTTCATACACATGCACTCCTATTTCATATATGTACATGCATACAGATTGCATAGACATATACATACATACAGATTGTTAATACATATACATCTATTTTATACACATGTATACAGACCTCATACACATACATACCTATTTCACACATGCAAGATTTATTTATAATTTACTTACAAACGAACATACATAAACAAATACACAAATAACTAACATACATTGTGTATACTATAAAAACTACAAACAGACAATAGCAGTCTTAAATACAAGTATTAAAAGCACTTAATTTCATTTTGTTATTGCAACACATTATTAAAACACACGTAAACTAGTGTTAAATATTATTATCATGTACAACCAGTAAAATAGTAAGGAAATTCCATAGTAAATGGTGTTTGTGCTGCACCTTGACAATTCGACATTATAAATCGCTTTAATAACAGCGCATTTCACGGTACTTCAGATATGTCAAATTACTCGGATGCTCCTTCTTGTCGCGAGAAATGGATGCCACTCGCACATTTTCTGGCTCCTCGTGTACACGTATTATGCTCGTACACGCCTGGGCGCCAATCTTAATTATTTTTGACGGAATTAGGTCAGATTTTAAATTGTTGACGTGCTTTGAATAATACTTCAATACATGCACTTTCTTTCAGTCACACTACTTCACACAACAATTCATTTCTCTTTTCAATATTTTGGGTACCTTTGTTCGGTAATTAACGTTCAATGAATATCAAAACACTTTACGATCTCATATTTAAATAATTAAGTACAATTAAGAACAATTAAGAATCATGTTTAACAGTTATTTTATTAAAATTGCAAAGTGCTTTTTTCTGTGTGTTACAATATTAGACGACAATTGTAGCAATCATATTTTATGAACTGAAATGTTAGGTAATTTGACGGGGTAGACTTTGAAATGAGATAAAATATGAAACAGTATTTATAAATTTTTACTTCATTTAATTTTTGTTAACGTTTATGTACCTTCATGTTTAATTTACTTCATGTATTTGTTTGAGATAAATTGTACAACTATTATACCTATAATATTTAGTAAATTGACTGTTTCTATAATAGCTACAATTTATCTAACAGCTACATTATTAAATCCATAATAATCATCTATAATAAATAACTATGTCATTACATCCACAATAAGATAAAATCGATACAAATTCTTACCGCATTCAAAACAAATAAATCTTAAAAAAAAGTGACAAAATCTTTCAAAGCATCCACAGAAAAGCGACGTTATCCTTCGGTATCAAATTAAGTAACCAAGCAATATCGCAGGCGAAAGAAAGCATTATTCCTCTCTTTATATGTAAATAGTCTAACGAACTTTTCCAAGAAGCTTTTCGTAATATGATACTCAGCGGATACATAAAATAAACAAAGACATTGAAGGGGAAGTATAATGTTTAATTAGAGCTGGAGAAGCGGCCGCAGCCGCAGCCGCCTCGGAGCTCTGAGGAGCTGGAGGATCTGCAAAAGCTGCTGCACTTCCCCGAGGAGGTGGCGCTCAGGTTGACGGAGACCGAGTACCAGCTGTTCTATCAGGTACCACCACAGGAGTACCTAAGACACGTGGCGCAAGATCAGAACACGCAGAAACCACCTGCCAAGCCACCCCCGTCGCCGAGTCGCAGCTATACCACACCCCGTACCGCAAACAGCTCGACCCAGACCGAAGAAGAATCTAACTGGCCTGTTCCCAACATCTTCTCTTCCGTTCAGACACTCATCAATCGTTTTAATGAGGTAATTTCATAAGCATTTCAACTTGGTATCTGTGGATCAAGGATGATCCACGAGTTGGCGTAATCAAAAGCATATCTCCTAATTAATAGTTAGCGTAAGCGTAACTTACATTTCAGCAAACAAAAATAGGAGTGACAATGACAAAAATTTTAGAGTTTGAAGACTTGAAAATTAAAATATCTGAAAGACTGAAAAATGAAAGAAAGGAAATTGAAAAATGGTAAATTCACAAATTCGTAACTTTATAAAATTGCAAATTCGCAATCATTTTAACGATGAACTTGGTATCTGCGAATCAAGGATGACGTACGAGATGGTGTGATAAGCATATTTCCATCTAACCTAACTTACCTAAAGCCTAACTTACATTTCAGCAAATGAAACTAGTAATGACCATGACAAAAATTTGAGAGTTTGAAAATTTGAAAATGAAAATATCTGAGAGACTGAAAAATGAAAGAAGGAAAATTGAAAAATGGTAGATTCACAAATTTGTAAATTTATAAAGTCGTAAAATTGCAAATTCCCAAATTCGCTAAATTCAATGTTCATTTTCATTCGTAATAACCTAACTTGCCTAAAGCCTAACTTACATTTCAGCAAACAAAAATAGTGATGACAATAAAAAAAATTTGAGAGTTTGAAGATTTAAAAATTAAAAAATCTGAGAGACTGAAAAATAAAAGAAAGAAAATTGAAAAATGTCAAATTCACAAATTCGTAAATTTGCAAATCATAAAATCGTAAAATTGCAAATTTCCAAATTCGCAAAATTCGATGTTGATTTCCATTCATAATAACATCGTTCGTACAAAATTAATACAGCATAAATGCGAACTTTCTGCAATGTAAAGATCTTACGACAACAGGGAAAAGCAAATAGAAATTTGTTCTGTCCACATATGAATTTAAATCTCTGATTCGTAGAACAGTACGCAATTACCATATCGACGCAATTGAATTTCAGATTAGTCGAACCGTAAACATATCGTGAATCAATATTTTTTGTATCCAACAGTGACTCGTGGAAAATAATTGTTTTTTTTTTTAAACAATCAGTAATGCAAAACGGGGAAATGGTTTTGAAACTTTCACTAAGTACTTCAATTTCTATTTAAATTTTTGACTTTGCAATTCATGGGAAATGAAAGTGAAACATTATTTTCACGTTATTAATAATTATTTAGAATAACTGATATTTAGCAGACTAAGTTATGATAACTAAGTTGTTACCGAATTGAGTTATCCTCTAAGTTATTATTTATAGTAGTTATTATTTATTTTCGATTACATAGGTAAGCTCATGGGTCACCCACGCAATTACAAGCGGCGCGACGATCGAAGAAAGGCAGGCGATTTTATCTTGCCTCCTACGCGTGGCTCAAACCTGTTGGAATACCGGAAACTTTAACTCAGCCATGGAAATTGTTGCCGGTCTCAAGTAAGTTTATTTTCCTATCATTTCCACAGTTTACACATTAATACAACTCAATAATTACTGACAACAAAAAGTTTTTATTAATAAACTATTTTCATTTTGAAGAAATCTCTCATTCATTATTACAGTAATGATAATCATTGATAACAAAAAATTTTTGTCACAAAATTTTCATTTTGAATAACTGCCTCATTTATTATTACATTAAAAAATATCATTGATAACAAAAAATTGTTGTCACAAAATTTCCATTTGGAACAAATACTTCATTAATTATTACATTAACAATAATCTTTGATAACAAGAAATTTTTGTCACAAAATTTACATTTCAAATAAATAGTTCACTTATTATTACATTAACAATAATCATTGATAACAAAAAATTGTTATCACAAAATTTTGATTTTGAATAACTGCCTCATTTATTATTACATTTAAAAAAATCATTAATAACAAAAAATTTTCATTTTGAATAAATGCCTCATTTATTATCACATTAACAAAATATGTTTAAGCACAATATAATTCAAATAAAAGTCTGCTATATGATAGTGTATATTAAACGATAAAATTGTTAGTGTATAATACATTGAACAAATTGTACATTTTGTTCTATTCTTATAAATTTCTCTAATTAACGCTTTTCCGCTTGAGTAATGTGTCTGCAAAGCACGTGATGAGCGCGAACGTTGACTATAGATCCTTGGGGAAGACGAATATCTGTGCAATTGAAAACTGTGGTTAATGTTCAATGATCCGTGACACGAGCAGGGATGAAACTTAAATAAGCAGAAACCGTCAAACCCCGGTTTCGTGTATCCTCAAGGACTTGAAGCTTGCGATACTGACGTGGATATGTTCTTCGTTGACAATTAATTTGAACTTCCACAACTTATTTTTGGTACAATGATTTATTTTGGGTTAGGGGTAGATAATATTAATTTTTACTTTTGTTATATTGATTTGTTATTGTGATAGTTGCATTATGGAACTATAAGTCATGATATTAATATGTTAACTGTATTGTTATAGAAATTGTTGCTCATAATATAAATTTAGTTATTTCTAATAATTCTATTAATATAAACTATTGTAGTATTAATTTTTATATATTGTTTATAGTATTAGTAATTAAATACTGAAATATAATATAATACTATATTATTTATAGGTTTACTGTAAATTACTTGTAGTATCAAATTTACTATAAATTGCTAATAATATCAAGTTTACTATGAATTACATACAATGTCAAATTTACTGTAAATTACATACAGTGTCAAATTTACTATAAATTACTTACAGTGTTAAATTTACTATAAATTGCTAATAATATCAAGTTTATTATAAATTCCTTATAGCATCAAATTTACTATAAATTACTTATATCAAATTTACTATAAGTTACTTATAACATTTTTACTATAAATTTACTCACAATACAAATCACTTACAAATTCTATAAAACTATAAAATACTTACAACATTCATTTCTAAAAATCCTACATTATTTATAAAATAAATAAAATAAATTATTACTCATAATCCTTTTTTCTTAATTTACCATTACCCAAAACTACAATTTCAATCGTCACATATTTCGTATTTCACTGCATAATTTATTATTTCATTTAGTATTATACTGAATACATAGTGCATGATTATTCTGCTCACTATTTCAAGTACAATTCAGAATATTTATGACAGAGTATCGATATTATGCAACGCGCGAAGCAGTTCTCAAAGCTGCGTTTACTCGTTCCTTCAATTTGCACAAACTAACTTGTGCAATGGAATTTGTACAAGTAGATCGTTACGTGTGAATAGAAATTTGAAGTTTCTGCAAGTTCTTGAGCGAAATCTGTTTTGCCTGATAATTTTCGCAAAGTTCGTGCGAGTAAATGCAAATTGGAAAAAGTAATCGTACGTTACTTGAAACGCGATATTTGTTTCTAAATTTAATTAGTGTCAGCTAATTTTCACGTAACATTCTTCCATTATTACAAGAGTAACATGTTACAATAAACCAAATAATTTTATTTTGACAGGTACTCATACGTGGAAATAAAAAATATAGGAAACAATTAATTGACATTTTATTTTGTAATTACAAATATTATTTTTAATAATATTGAAAGTTCAAATAGGATAATTTAATTCAAACTATTTTAACAAAAAATTGGTTTACTTTTAAGAAATTAATCTCACTCCAACGACTTATATAATTATTATCCATTATTTATTAATATTTATTTACAAGGATATTTATTATTTCGTGTTATAAAACTGTAATTAAAAAATGTCAGTTTTCTTTTACAATTGTAAGATAACAGATTTAAAATTTATTTACAGCCGCAACATAGAAGCCATAAAATATTTATGTGCTTCAATCTGGCAGCTTGCTAAAAATTTTACAGCCAAAAATATTTTATTTACAAATCGGTATCGACAAAATAAAAATTTGTATTTCAATTGGTTTGTTTCCAAAGCTTCTCTGCGTTGGTAGAACTCTTTGAGATTAGGTTAACTCTCTGAGGTTGGGTTAACTCTTTGAGGTTAGGTGTCCTCTGTTTAGCTTTTCATGGGATTTTAACTCATCTCGAAAAATTTTCACGTTAAATAATATAAATGTACATAAATGTACATAAATAATATAAATGTATGTGTATTAACAACAATTTTCTGTAACTTTAAAATCATCTCAAAGAGTTAAAAAAGTAAAGAAATTCAATTAGCTGTAACTTTCTATTCGATGTAATCATCAGTAATTATTCGTAATATCTTTCACTTATAATCGTGTCATAGCTCACGGGACTAATGAATAAAGTACCGAATGACGAGAAATAGTATAAAATTTTGTTAAAACTTAGCAAAGTAAGTTTAATGCTGGAATTAAATCAGTTTTGGTAACTCTATAAAACTTTTGAAAATTGGATACCGTCGTAACTTTAACGGATCGATTAATCTCAGTCTATTGAAATAATAGCATCCTCTAGATTCCAATTAATCCGTAGGCTTAGTAACTCAAGCAAAACGTTAGCCCACTTCAGCCATCAGTTTCATCAGAAAGCTGCTTTGATTTGAGGATCAAAGTATTTGCAACTTTCTTGTTTTATGTTTATTAAGAAAGATGTCATATAGACAAAATTTCCTTATAATATCAAACTTTATAATTTCATTATTTTAATTTGTAAATATTGTTTTAACTTACTATTAATATTAATGTATTAATATTAAATTTTGAACTACTATTAATTTATACATTTTCATATTCAATTTATGCAATTTATATGTGAAACTAGTTTCTTTTTTGTGAAAAAAGTAAAAAGTAAAATAAAAATTATTTAAATATATCATGTATTTAGAGATCACTCCGAAATTCATCAAAAGTTTTCAAAATTGTTTTCAAAATATTAATTTCAATTCTATATTAAAAATTCGTTGCTAAATTTTTGCAGTGAACATTTTGGAGACACTATTATTGTGATGAAGGCATGATTAGTAATAAAATGTATCTATAAAAATAATTTATGAAATGTTTTAGATAGAAGAAAGTTGAAATTGTTAGAAAGTGAAAATTAGAGACAGAAAATTTAACGAATTTGAAATCTTAATTAATGCTGCTATCAGATTTAATCCCCACAATCTTGTACAAACTTAGCTAATTTGAGAAAGTGGAAATGATCATGATATGACACATTATATTATAGAATTCCATTTATTTGAACAAGTTTAAGTTCATTCAGACGGCTTTTAGATCATTACACAAATTCATATTGCTTTTAACTTCCATACTCTACTCAAGTTAAAATACTTTAAAAATTACGTTTACAAAAATCTTGAAAATTGTAATGAAGATACCAAAAAATATCCTTTATCATATTCAATAAAAAAAATTTTAATTTTAAAAAGTAAAAATAAAATTTGCAAACATACTAATAATCAATTATTTTATATTTTGTATCCATTTGAAAAGATTCAATTCTTCTATTGCAAAGAAATCTACATCCAAAACTTCTTTCCAAGTTTCCAAAGTTTAATGAAAAACGTCTTCAGACCAAAACCAATCGTAATTGAAAATTTCCCATATTTTATCAACATAAAAATAAACATAAACAATTGTCCGCAATAAATCTTTGCATCAAGTCCTCGACATGGCAGCTTTATGTCATTAAAAACTGAGGGCTTTTTATACGTTTAAACCAGGACAGGTACTTCTTTAAGTGGCACCCTCGAGATCGTTTTGAAAACGAATGGAAAAATAAAGTAGTTTTATTATCAGTATCGTAAAACAGGTTGTAACCGCGAACGAGAAGATAAAAGTTCCTGCTCGAGCATCGTTCCAGACACAGCCATTGAGGCCAATGGCTGCCTCTGTGCTTACAATTTACCTCTCTGTATCCTTCTGTTCGAGTTTTAGGAAACTCGATTAATCGAACATATGGTTTAAATTTTACCCTACTCTCACCGTGACACTCTTCAAAACTATGTGACCTTATCCCAGTTGCAACAGAAACCTTGCAACTTTACTTGCAGAAACTTTACACAAAATTTTATGACAGTACTTCATGATGTTGTACAAATTTTTGTAATTTGAAAAAATTTTATGAATTTCGCAGTAGGGACTTTTAACTTTTAGAAGGTATAAACAAAGTAATGTGCTTTTTTATTGCCATGTAATAATCAGTTTATTTGAGACTGTGAACTGTTGCTGTGAAATGGATGTGAACGGGACTTTCTTCGGCCTCGTTAATTACAAGAGTGCCGTAAAGCGTAGTTAGGATTATGGTGCACCGTAAAGAACTTACAGAATGGAAAATGAATTAAATGAAACTTGGATGATTTCTTCGAAAATAGGTTTGGTAAATGTTGACACATTATGAAGGTATAATTTTAGTAATTATTAAAAATTCATAGAGAACCTAGTAACAGAAAAAGAATCGAAACATCAAGTATTAGGTAAATTTTAAATGAAATATTAAATAAATTGTTTAAAGTATTAAACAATAATTTTATGATAAAAGAACACATATACATTATGTGTGTTCACACATGTGTTAACACTATACATATGTGTAAACATAAACTTGTGCATTATAACATATAACTGAATTCAACTGAACAATTATGAAACAAAAAGGTAACAAAAATTTTAATCTTTAGTATTTTATTTGTAACACTAATTAAAAAACATATTAAACAATTATTATATCAAATATAGCTTTGAGTAATTTTCAATAAAATCAAATAATTTCTGTCAAATTTAATCATCATAATTACATAAGTTTTCACATATTTAACAAAATTGTAAAAATGTAAAATTGTAAAATTGTAAAATTGTAAAATTGTAAAATTGTAAAATTGTAAGATTGTAAAATTGTAAAATTGTAAAATTGTAAAATAGTAAAATAGTAAAATAGTAAATAATAAAATAGTAAAACAGTAAAATAGTAAAATAGTAAAATAGTAAAATAGTAAAATAGTAAAATAGTAAAATTGTAAAATTGTAAATTTGTAAATTTGTAAAATTGTAAATTTGTAAAATTTTAAAATAGTAAAATAGTAAAATAGTAAAATAGTAAAATAGTAAAATAGTAAAATAGTAAAATTGTAAAATTGAAAAATTATAAAATTATAAACTGGCTCCCACTATAATAAACACAAATCCAAATAAAAATTTACGCTCGCAGAAATATGAAATATGATACTCAAAGCGTTAACTCGCAATTGTCTTCGTTACGTTTTGACATGAGAAGTTTTATTAAAGTTTCATTTCACCAAGCAATCAAAATCTCCCTCATGTCATATCAAATTGACAAAGTTTTTCCGATTTTCGTAATGCGCCGCTGACCCGTCTGTAAAGTATTATTGAAAACGAAACTTTCTCCGTCTTACGAAACTTTAACATTAATTTGAACTTTAACTACTTTAGAAGAATTGAAAAATTCGTAAAGCTGCAGCTGCACTTCCACTCGACGACGCGACGTGACATGACACTGCGAAACTCGCTAGATTTTTAAAACCCGTTTATACCTTCACCCGAAAAAACAACGTATAAAATGTTCACAATGACATATTCGCAGAAACGCGTTTTGTATATTTTAATTTATCAAAAAACACGTCAAAACAACCTTTCAATTTTTCACGTTTTTTACGTTGTAAAATGCGTCTCTGTGCAAATATTTTCAGTTTCATCAAAGGTTTGAGATTATACGCGTCATATATGCAGGTACACATTGTACATGTTGGACAGAAAAGATTAAAACAAAAATCGATGTGTCCATCAATTCTTTCGAATTTTTAAAAACTTTTATCTCAAAAATTCTTCTTTTATCAATATTCAGAGGTTTTGCGAATATAAGAAATATTCATAGAAAAAATTACTATTATTTGCTAATATCACTGACAGGCGAAATTAGGATGTTAAAACATTTTTAGACATTGCAAATTATTGTAGATTTTCTGATTTGGTAATAGTAATATTTAGGTTGATATTTGATAGAGTAAGAAACACACAGATTAAATTTAAAATAAGTGGTAATCCAAATGTTTCCTCGATATAAAGCTAACTTGAGAAATTAATTTTGAAGTACTGCAATAGTCCCATAGAATAAATTTTAATATCACATGATTTTTAAGATTAACCCAAATAAGAATAAATTTTTCCTATTTCTAAATTTTCAAAAAATTTCTCGATTTAAGATCCGATGTAAAAGAAAAGCAATTTGCAATAAATATCTGAATGCTTTTCACGACACGAAAAGTTGTGGTACTCATATGATATATGGAACAAATCCTTAAATCGAATGCATGGGTTTTGTTGCAGGTCCAATAAGCTAAAGCCCTTTTGGCATAGCATAAACGATCCAGTACCGGTGTTGGAGAATCTTTCCTCAGCCCTTCTCTCCGCCGAGTATGAGTTCACACTTGCTCGAGCTTTGGCAATGCCGGAATGTCCGGTGGTGCCGTTCTTCGGAGCCTTCCTGCGGGAATTGCGGGAAGTCATTGCTTCCGAGTCCAAGGTAAGCCATTAAATTCTATACCTCTACAACTACCAGACCTCGTCGAGCGATTACTATCCTGCAAAAACCTTGGAACGTTTGCATACGCTGCTGGGAATTCTAACAACGGTAAAGTTTCAAAGCCAAGATAAAGCCTTGTCCAACTTTCATTATATGCCGTTGTACCTCGACTGATTTTTAAATTAGAAAATAAAGCTCCGCTTGTTTCTATGACAGCCGCAAATTTGCATTGGCTTTCATATTTTAAACAGAAAGTGATTTTGTTATGGTATTAAATGTCGATTATTTTTGGTGATATTTTGGCACTGTGTTTTTATTTTGCTGTTAAAGACTTTGAAGATATATTGACGTATAATGGAAAAATAAAAAATATCTGACATAGATTTTTACAATATAAATTTTTTACGTACTATAAACGCTACAGTTATTATTTAAACTTTAAAACAGAAGATGTTAGCATTATTTTATACCTATATTCAATATTCTACTTTCAATTTTCTATACCTCCATATTTATCTGTGTATCTATATTTAATTTTTTAAAAGAATCTAATCGGAAGTGTGCAGTTAATCCTAGGAGCGTCCGCCATTTTGTGTAGCTTCTGCGCCATTTTGATCTCTAACGCGTCGATGCACCTCAGCAAAAATTTATTAAAATCTCTAAAAATAGCTAGTTAATTTACAAAGAAAATTATTTTTAAAATTATCTACAAGTTTGAAGATTAAGAAAAGTTTTCTCTTAAAAATATTTTACAGAGAAAGAAGTAATTTAAGATTTCGTATGAGATACTTAGATCGTGATATGAGAATAGAGAATAAACTTTTGAGTAGTTCTTTGTTGTAATCTTTATAGTCTATAGACTCTAATTTATAAACATATGATGATAATGATCATGATGCGCATAACTATTGACTAGCTTACTAAAATACTCGGGTATTTCTTTTTTTACCATTCCTGAAGTTGTTGGAAGTCTCAATTTATTCTGTGGAATAGCATTTGCATAATTATCCCATACGTATACATAGCAGGTCCTTTTTGCGTTGAATTTGCATTAATATTCCACTTGGTATTAAAAAAAGGAATAGATAATTTGAAATAACTGTTCAGCTTCGTTAATTTAGTGTTTTTTTACATTAATTTCGTGTTTAGTTCTTTGGTGTATTAAGACTAACAGCACTTTTTGGACGACGTGTTAATATTTACCCTCAAGGAGTAACTGACTGTTAAATTTTTATTAATGGAGTACTTGAAAATTACAGTTATTTAAATTAATTATTTAGTGCAATATTTAAACGTGTCTGAACTATATTCGATTACAAAGAAAAATAAATTGAACATTAATTTTTAATTCAGAGGAATTTAATTATGATTCTAAAAAGATTAACAGAAAAATTCGATGTGCATAAAAATATACTCTCATTTAAATTATTCTTTAAAAGAACTAAAATTGTTAAAAACAGTCATCTGTGTATTGTATTAATTTATAATTATTTGTTCAAAAAATGTCCTTGTTCAAAAGAATTCAGAGCACGTAATAAATTAGCTAAAAATTCAAAGTATGTAATAAAGGGCTGAAACGCGAAGATATAAAGCCACTTTCATTCTAGTAATTTATAAAGAAGAAAAAACTCATATAACCACATATGATGCTGTGATTCAAATCTTTCTCATCTGTCACTTTAATATCCAGAAATTCATCTCTCGCAAAGCACGAATGTCAAAGCAGATTCGCAGAATAAACATACTTCTTGCCTGAATATATTTTTAATATTTGACCTACATGTAAAAATGAGAGATACACGAATTCCAATCCCACGGTTTTTATTATCAATCGCGCATATTTCGTCGAACTTATCTCCAGGTACAGGGAATGAATTATCGGTTCAATTAATTTTTTAACGAATTTTTTTGAATGCATTAAATACAGGTGGACTTATTGGAATTTATTATTTTAAATGCAAAATTATGAGATAGTGTTTAGTATCTTTTTCTAAGGTTTTCCATATTTCTTTCATAAATCATAGTTGTGCAAAACTTCTCTTCGCAGCAATCTAATCTTGCGAAGAGAAAGATAAATGATAAATGAGCAACCGCATATTTCAGAGTGTAGTATTGAATCATTTATATGAAGAAATAAAAATGTGTTTTGAACAATATCATAACTGTTATATTATGAATTATTAGTAATTATTAGTAATATCGTGAGAAATTAAATTTTTTATTTTCATTCATTAAAAATTAATGTGACTTGAACTCACAAAAATTATTACAATTTTAATTTACAAAAGTGATTACAATTTTATTATTTGCAAAAATAATTACAATTTTATTATTTAAAAAAATGATTACAATTTTATTATTTACAAAAATGATTACAATATTATTATTTACAAAAATAATTACAATTTTATTATTTACAAAAATGATTACAATTTTAACTTACAAAAATAATTACATAAACTTGCAAAAATTAATATAACTGTAACTTACAAAAGTTACAACAGAAATTACAAAATATTTACAAAGTAATAACTTCTCACATGTAATATATAAACAAATTTCATTTCGAACACTTTTAATTTTCTGACACAAATATTTCTGCCACTTTCTACGAATGTGATTGCAACCTATATAAAAAATGTAGGTAAAAACTATTTCATGAACTGCCAATTCAAAGTTTGATTTATGTTTTTCTTACTTTTTTCAACTTCCATGATTTATTGGAAAATAGTTTTCGTGAAATTTAATTAAAAGTAGTAGAAACGAATTGATTCTGAAGTTTCCAAATTTTTAATCGCAGTTAATCAATATAATACGTTTTTAATTCTCGTTTGTAATTCTCAAGTCTGGCTTGAAACGAGTACTACTACTAACATTCATGTGCCGATGTCAATTTACAAGTTGTCGCGTTAAGAGAGTGATACGTGTTTACAAGAGTTATGACTCCAATTGGTCAGAATAGCAAAATGGACGTCTCACATTCCCAAATTCCTATGTCTCCAAATATCTATGTATATTTCCAAATCTCCACATTCTGTAGGTTACATACAGAACTGTTACTCTATACATTCTTGATTGATTGATTTTACATGGGGCTTGACTGCTATGATCATTGGCCCACTATACATTCTTGAATACCTACATTTCTAAATTTCTCCATTCTCAAATTTTTACATTCTAAAATTCCTACAATCCTGAATACATACATTTCCAAATCTCTACAGCTCTGAGTCCCTACATTCCCGAGTCCCTACATCCCCAAATCGCTACGTTCCCAAATCGCTACGTTCCCAAATCGCTACATTCTTGAAACCCTACATTTCCTGATTCCTTACAGTCCCAAATCCCTACATTCCCCAATGCCTACATTCCCAAATTCCTACATTCCCAAATCACTATATTCCCAACTTCTCACACACCCAAATCGCTATATCCCAAACTCCTACATATCCAAATCGTTATGTCCCCAAATCCTTGCATTCCCGAATCCTTACATTTCCAAATCCCTACACTGCCAAATCCCTACACTCCCCAATCCCTACATTCCCAAATTCCTACATTCCCAAATCACTATATTCCCAACTTCTCACACACCCAAATCGCTATATCCCAAACTCCTACATATCCAAATCGCTATGTCCTCAAATCACTACATTCTCGAATCCTTATATTTCCAAATCTCTACACTCCCCAATCCCTACATTCCCAAATTCCTACATTCCCAAATCTCTATATTCCCAACTTCTCACACACCCAAATCGCTATATCCCAAACTCCTACATATCCAAATCGCTATGTCCTCAAATCACTACATTCTCGAATCCTTATATTTCCAAATCTCTACACTCCCCAATCCCTACATTCCCAAATTCCTACATTCCCAAATCTCTATATTCCCAACTTCTCACACACCCAAATCGCTATATCCCAAACTCCTACATATCCAAATCGTTATGTCCCCAAATCCTTGCATTCCCGAATCCTTACATTTCCAAATCCCTACACTCCCAAATCCCTACACTCCCAAATTCCTACATTCCCAAATTTCTATATTCCCAACTTCTCACATATCCAAATCGCTATATCCCCAAACTCCTACATATCCAAATCCCTACATTCCCGAATCCCTAATAATAAATCTTCCAATTTAAAGAAAGCTCACAAGTTCATAAAAAAATCACAGTAAAATTTGAATAAATAATATATCAACTTTTCATAATTCCTTGCACTATTAAAATAAAAAAAAGTAGATGTAATACTAAAAAAAAAAATGAAATATTTGTTTAAACAAAATAAACCTTCCTTTCCTTTAACATTTTTATTATTTAAAGATTAGGTGTAATAGATATCGACCAGTAAATATTGTTTTATTTATCAAAGTCCCGAGAATGAACAATGCAGCTGATAAATATCCTTCAATACAATTGCAAATTATGCAGGCGTATAATTATCAATGTTTCATTATTGATTTATATTCGCTTGTCAGTCGCTGGAAATAATTCCGTTTGATGTAATACCTTCAATCGGAAATATTATCACTCCATGTATCCAGATATTGTCTTTCATGCTATCTTTTAGCGTATTACTTGTACTGTAACAAATTATGAATTTAATCGATGCAGTAATTGAAATAAACCGATGATTTTGTGAATTATGCAGTCAGGACGATTGTGGGAATTTGGCCAACATTGTTACGCGATCAATCTGTCGACGAAATGGAGGAATTTTATGCAAGTTGGATTATGATATGTGTATGCTAATGACGCAATTCAGTTTCTTTATTATTTTTATTGGTGCTAGCTTTCCTTGCTTTTATTTTGTTTTGTTGTATTTAGTCACTGAAATTTTATTCGTGAAATATTGATTTCAGTAGCTTTTATAATAAATAGTCTCCACATATTCAATTTCTAAATTTTTGTAATAGTTTAAAAATATTTCTGTTTCAAACTTTTGTAATAGTTCACAATAATTAGTATATAAAATACTCGTTGTAGTTTAAA